CTCAGAATCTTTCTGCCCCTCAAACTGAGCCAACATCTGGAAGACACATGGAGGGAGATAATTTAATTATGTTTTTTTTTTGAGAAAAAATATTTATCAGGAAAAGGAGAATAAGCAAGGATCACTCTTCCAGAATCTTTCTCAGGCTCCCGGACAATTTTACCAATCCAAGGACAATATTTTTTTTCTATCATTTTAATTTCGACGAAAGCATCAGATGGTTTAAAAAAGCATCAGATGGTTTAAAAAGACCACTTCACTTGCCACACACCTCCCTACACTAAGTCCTGCTCTCCAGGGGCAACCGCTATTACCCATGTCTATTTATGTTTCCTTTGATGATTATTTCCATATCTCGAGAAAACATGCCAACACTACCACTTCTTATCAGATTTAGACATTATCTTACTGCATTCCTGCCACAGACAAGAATTTATCTCACTTACGTAATGGCGCGCGCCCCCTCCCTTCCTAATTTTAACAGGCAAATCATTACTCTTAGCTCCTCTACTGCAGTGGTTCTCCAGTGTTAACTGTGTCAGGATCACCTGGTCAGTCTGTTAGAACAGACTGCTGGGACCCACCCCATGCGAGTCTGATTCCATGGGTCTGGAGGGAGGCTGGAGAATTTTCATTTCTCACAAGATCCCAAGACAGGCTGAAACCACTGATTCAGCAACCAAGCTTTCAGAAGCACTGCTCTTGTGGTGACCTCCGCAATTTTAAGTAACATACAGCTATGTCTTGTTTCATCAAGTTTTACAGTATCTCTTGGCTTACCTGTTTAAAAGACGAAAATATGGAGAGATCTTCTGTAGTTCTATTTTTACCTCTACACACTCAAGTTTAATGACATTTACACTTTATACGATAACCATAGCTCTGATTTGGGCTTGATTATAAATACTGAAAACCAATAAATGGTGCTAATGTTATTATGGCTACATGATTATTGTTCACAGTAGAGCCAACCTGAGTGTCAGGTTCAAAGTTAAACGCCTAGAATACTCAACTTTTACTAAAGGGAAAATATTTCTAGTTTCAAGTTCCTTCTCTTATACTCTTCTTCTTGCTTAAAATCTCACCATTTTTTAATTCGTTTTAGATTTGAACTATAACATAGTGACCATATTTCTGTTTTTCTGGGATTTTTTATTGCCTTTATTTTCTTCTGATCCACAGAAGAAATATAGTCCATCTACACTATATCCTGAATATTTGCTACTTTCTTGTCTGTCTGTCTGTCTATTGCTGGCTTCATTCTTCTTGAAGTTCATTGGTCCTCTGTTCTAAATTGACCAACTGTTTTTTAGACTTACTGCACAGATGTAATTCAGGGGTTTCTTGTCATTAGGCTTTTGGGAGTTAGTTCCACAGTTTCTTGCATCCCACATCTTGCTCCTTCTAGTTGTCACCCTGTTTTGTTGGAGCATTATCTCAGGTAATTTCCTTGGAGAGGTAACTAGGGAGGTAAAATTTCTGGGTCCTTGTTTGTCTGAAAAATTATTTCGACCTCATGTTTGACTGTTAGGCTAAGCATAAAATTCCAGTTTCAAAATCACTTTCTTTCAGAACTTTGAAGCCCTTATTTCACTACATATTAGCTGGCTTCCAATCTTGCTAAAAAAGGTTCTAATGGGCTACGTAGTATGACTCTAATTCTGTTGTAAGATGCCATATATTCCCCAATATCACCATCCTGTACACCCAGTTCTGGAAGTATTTAGAACTGGTAGAGTGGTGACATTTCAAAATGATGTATCTCGGATATTTTGGGTTTGTAAGTTGGTGGGCTTTTTAAATTAAAAAAAAATCTCTTTAATATTAGGAAATTTTATTCCATTATCTCTCTTATAATTTCTTCATTTTCTGTTCACTTTTCCTGATATTCCTATTACTTGAATATAGGACCTTGTAGATTGATCCTTTAGCTCTCTTTTCTGCTTACTGGTAGATTTCTTACCAGGGTCCTCCAGTTCTTCTACTAAATTTTTGGCTCTGCAACCATATTATTAATTTTCAAAACCTTTCTTTGTTCTTTGGTTCTTCCTTGTAGAAAACAAAATTAAATTCCACCTTTATAAAGGATAGACTATATTCTTTAATCTCCTTGTGCTTATTACCAAGAGTTTAAGTTGGTTTTTAAATTTTTATAATCTCTTCTACTCCCTGAATCGTTTATTTCCTCCTAAATCCATTATTCTGTAGGTTTATTATTTTTTTCATTACCACATTCCCCTCCCCCCCCCCATCTCAGGTTTCCTTGGTTGTTCATTCATATTTAAGAATAAAGTAAAAGGGCTGATTGGAAAATCAGTGGGAGTGTTTGGGGGGCTGGTGGGAGTGGAAGCTAGCTCTTGCATTTGGAGAAATGCCAGAAGTAAGGCTTTCCTCTGGGAATCATCCTACCCACACTATCTCTCAGGCAGTTTATTCAGGTCTTTAGAGAAGAAAATGCCTGGCTGCTTACTATTCTGCGCGCCTGAAGCATGCAGAGGTGGAGGTGGGGGAGGGGAGTCAACTCTTCTACACACCAACCATCAATTAATGCCCCCTCCCTGGTTTCAGCCCATTTCTCACTTTTGTACCCTGTGCAAGTGCAGGTCCAGCCACGGCTGCAGCCTGTCTGGACGGACCCATGACCAGAGAGGCACCCATCCTCCCCATGTACAGGGTAAGGCTCCCCCACCAACACTCTTCCATCTTCTCTACTCCAGAAAATGACCGGACTCCCTCACTGGCTGAGGCGCCTTCCCCCACAGTATTTATACCTTCCTGTTCTGATGTACTCATTTCTAATGGGGTCCCAGAAAGCACAGGCATAAATATGTATGCTTGGCTGGCCACCTTGAGCCACAAGTGACCAAGAACATTTTCATACTGATCTGTCCTGCATCTCGGCTTGGATCAGGATACTTGAATCCAAGAATGTCAGTAAAGGCCCAAAGATGCTCTTCAACTAACCGATGCCCACTCTGTGCCACTGATGGATCTGTAGAAAGGAGAGTTCACTGTGGAAGGTGTGCCCAGGGCAGCAAGAAGCTGAACAGATTAGGCAGCTACCTCCCTGGGTCATCTGAGAGATCTAACAAGCACAGAGTACCCTGAAATTATTCCCCTAAGTACCCTGAGTATGGGCCACTCCTGTCAGACAAGTCTATTGGGCCAGCAAGAGTCCATCTTAGAGAGCAGAGAGAGTAACACTAGCACTAGGGGACTAGTTCTCTAGAAATCACCACTGTACTCTGATTTACTGAGTCCCCAGACTGACCTCTTTGCCCCAGTCCACTGTCAGAAGATGACACTAATTGTTACTTCTTGGTCAAGGTGGCAGCCACCTGCTTCCTGCCCTGCCTCTTTCTCTCCTCCTCTCCTTGCCCCTTCACACCAACCCTCCACTCTGCCTCACCCACTGAGATGCCCAGTGTTCTCCGGTGTCTCCCCTCACTCTCCCAGACCCTTCTCTAAGTATCCATGACCAGGGGACATACCGGCCACCTTCTAGGGCCCTTGTGTTTTGAAAGAAGTTCATGTTTGAATTCAAAAAAAGCATGCAGAAAGGCAGTGTTGCCAACAGGTTGTGTCCATATGGGTAGCGGGCACTGTTCGCCCTGCCCATATCCCTTCATGACGGGTGCCCCATCCCCCCGCTGATGTGAGCACAGGCAGCTAACAGCTCACATCTGCATCCTTCTCCAGAGACCTGTCCTCAGCTGAAGGGAGTCTCCTCCAAGGAGCGTTACACTCCCATCTAGATCCCACAGCCAGCCAATGGCTGGCTAGCACAGGGCACAAAAGGCCGCCCCCTTAACTCAAGCACAGGACAACTCTTTGGTGTAGTTTCTGCTCCAGAGTTCCATGCCTCGTGCCAGGGCTAGACTTTAGCCCCTTCCCTCATTTTCTTACACATTTCTCCCAAGAGCAGTCTCCTTAGACCAGGGGCTTCTAAAACCATGTCTCAGGCTCTGCTTCCGGGAAATCTGACCCAAGATCACAAGGGCTTGACTTTGGGAAAAAAACAAGGAAGCCTTGGTAACAATTTCACCACCTAATTGAACATCTGGATGGGTTTCTCGAACCCCAAGCACCTTTCTAGGGTTGTTTTTACAACCATTATCTGCAAGGTGTGCCTCCCTGATCTGCTAGGTTTCCCATAAGCTCAGAGCAGTCAGAAAAATCATGGAGGGTGGGGCCAGCGGGTGGTTCCACAGTCTTGCCCCCGCCCTGCACAGGAGTCTGGGGTAGCCCCAAACCAGGTTTGCCTGACCTTCCCCAGAGTCCTGGATCTGTGGCGGTGCTAAGAAAAGTTTTACAATAGGGTTGGGGTACCAGATTCCTTGCATATTTTCTGCATAGTAGTCAGCACTGCACATCTCACAGATGGCTCAGGGCAGCCAGGCCAGTGTGGCTGCACAGAATTAGCTCACAGGCTCACTCTGGCCTCGTGGGGGCTTGTATGGCCTGCACCCAGCCCCACCCTAAAGCTCCTCCACACAACAGCACATTGTGGAATCTGATGAGGGTGGGATAGGGTGGGTGGCACACCTGCACTCACAGTGCCCTGGCTTCCAGGCCCATGTGGGTTGGGCATTTTTAATTCAACCACCAATGCTAGCAAGAGGAAATTCTTGTTTCTCCACCCCACTCACTCCTCCTAACCATAAAACATTGGCTGAGCACCTACTATGTGCAGATCTAAGCTCTGGACATGGTCCAGGCCCAGGGAGCCAGTTCAGGAGACAAATGGTCGGTTCATGACGTCAAAGGGATAATTTCCTAATTGCTTGAGAATAATCTCCAGGTGTTTTCTAAATCATGCAGCTATTAGAAACAGCACCCAAAAGCATACATTTCATCATTTTGCAAATCAGGAAAGGGAGGCCCCGAGAGGGAGTGTGCCTTGGCCTCGCCCTCCCCACCCCCCCAGGCCACCAGGGCCATGACTTCTACCACATGTCCCAGCCCCCCTGGGTCCCCGTTGTGAGCTTTACAGTTCTGACCTGATTCTTTTGGGCAATCTTTTGTCCCTTTTTCCAGCGGAGCACTGGTGTCAGAGCCGGCAGCTCTCGCCCCTCCTCGCCACTCACATGCTCACCCAGGCTGTAGGCGGCTTCAAACACGATGGGACTGATGACGTCCTGCACTCTCCGCTGAAACAATAAACAAACACGCGCATGAGCTGCTAATACTGGCTGACATTTGCAGAGCATTTCACAGCTGACAAAGGCCTTCCACGGGCATTGCCTCATATGATCCTCACAACCACCCTTGTGAGGTAGGGTTTTGTTATTTTCCTATTTTCGATGAGGTAACTGAGGCTGAGAACAATTCAAGTCTTGTCCAAAGGTCACTCTGTTAATGAGTGGGGGCTTCTCTCCTCTACCTGGCTTGGTGCTAAATCGTCTTCTCTTTTCGCATATGGAAGACATTACCTGACTCATCTTCCAAATATTCTTATATGCTCATTGGCGGGCAGGAGCGCATCTGCACTCACCCTGCAGCGCTAACCCTTTGCATTCGTGCTAGTTTTGATGATCAAAGCTCTTGTGCATTGAGATAAATATGGATTTTGTGTTGAGAGAGAGACCTAGAGACGCTGAGGGGCCCGGCGTCTTTCCCAGAGCTAGTCATCGATAGCTCTGGGATAAAAGTCTGACTTCTGCCCTTGTGTTCTCTCCTTTGGAACCCAAGGACCTTAAGTCCCATGGGTACATCAGGTTGATAACCACAACAGGAAAGCAGGGGAAGAAAGCAGGCATCCAGTGAACACCTACAAGATGCCAGGACCTGTGCTAAGTGTACGAGAGAGATGAGCAACATACCCAAGCTTGGGCTGACTGTCCTCCATGGTGTAATACAAGGAAAATAAAGGTGCGTCGCTGAGTTCCCCAGAGCACAAGCCCGATGTTGAATCCCACTTGTTCATCCTTGGAGTTGTTGGCCTTTCTGCACAAGGTATCACGGTCTCCTGGGGACTCTGCCCCCCTCCCCCAGGCTCACAGTTTAGTTAGAAGAGGGCTAAAGGGTAGATAGTCCTGCACTGGGGGCCTGCATGCTCTGTGGAACAGGGTAAGTCTGAGAAGTGGCACCAATGAGCCAAGTCCCCGCTGCTGTGCCTCTGTCACAGGAAAGATGGGAGGGAGCGAGCAGGAAACAGGAGTGGCCCAGGCAGGTTGTGAGAGAAGCTGGGTGGGCAGGCAGAGGCCAACCACAGAGCCACCAGCAGAACCAAGGACTTCATACTACAATCTGTGCGAAGGCTGGTGCAGTTTGGAGCAGATCAGTGCTGTGTTCAGAACAAGAGAAAGTTCTGGAGTTCCCAAGAGGCACACAGTGAAGAGTTTGTTCCCGCTGCTCCCAACACCCAGCGCTCCTCTCCAGAGGCAGGCATGCCTGTTTTGGGGTATTCATCCAGTCTAAGCATATGCAGGCAACTGGTAGCTCATTACATACTACACTTTGCTTTCTTCACTTAGCATGCATCCTGAAGGCAGTTCCATGTGGGTACACCGAGCCGCTTTTTAATGGCACACAGCATGTTACTGTGGATGCCCTTACCGGCCAACATTTGGACTCAAAGCTGCTTTAACAAGCGAATGGGTGGCAGCCCATAAACTGCAGCAGCATCCTCCAAGATGGGCTCTTGGAACCCCAGTTCCCCAGGAGGGAGGTAAATGAAAGGGTCTGTGATCGAATAAGCGGGGGAGACATCAGGTTAAGCAAAGTTAAAGAGGGTTTTGATTCTGTTTTCTTCCTCGTTTCTGTTTTTACTGCAACTGCCTTCAAGAAAGAGTAGGGTGGTCCCAAGTTTACTGGGTCATGGGACCCTGTGTTTCTTCAGAGCTCCTCGGGGCTGTTGAGCAGAACAAACTTGGAGACACTGGAGGGCAGAGCAGAAACCTCAGGCAGCAGCCTAGGAAGGGAGATGGGGCCTCGGCAAGAGTGGCGTGGCAGGGGGAGACACAGGTGGCCGCGCCTGGGGCTGCTGAGCTGTGGCGCGTGGAGGACAGGGAAAAGGGGGACAGATGACTCCGGGGTGACCAGCAGATGATGTATATTTGTGTTCAGAAAAAGCATTCAGCTAGGAACAGATTCAATCGTTCAGCATAAATACAATACAGGACCTGTCCAAGGGAGTGATGGGGGAGGCTTTGGATAAACTGCTTTCAGAAAACTCTCTTGGACTTTGGATTTTAGCAACACATCTTTAATATCCAGCCCTTTCTGGGAGCAAAACACACACCTGGGGTCCAGACCCACTCTGCCGGCTGACTCTGCTAAGCAGAATTTAAAGACTGTCAGGGGTGTGCAGAATAATGAATGAGTACAATCTTCATGTTTTTACAAATAAATGCTTTCAGTGTTTCTTTAAGGTTGACTATTTTAAGTGTTTGCATTTAAATCCTTCATGTTGAAATAAGTCAGTTGTGATGTTATTCTTAGGGGAAAGGTTGAATATGGGGGTGGGGGAGACAGAAGTAACCTAACATTTCCTGGCTACCAAATGTATTCCAGACGCTGGGCCAAGGTGTTATCTCCCTTAATCCACATAACACCTACACTAGTAGTTTACTGCTCCCATTTTATAGATGAGGTTAACTGAGGCTCAGGAGCTCAAATAAGCTGTGCTCCATCTTCAAGATACTAAGTGGTAGAACCAGACTGTAGGACCTAAAGCAAAATGACTTGCCTTAAAGTCCATAAAATACTGTTTAAAACTTATTTCAATTGCTTTAGGCTCTGACATCACCCTAAAAATCAGCTGTTCATGTAAGAGGATACAGAAGGGGGTTTGGAGAAGCGGGATGTTTCTTACACAAGTATGAATGTCAATGAATGATGACTAAGAAATACGGGCTTGAAGCAAGGGCTGTTTCTCAATGTGCAGCTATTCAGGTTATGATCACCATGCAGGAAAATCTTAGGCATGGCACCAGTCATTTGGGATAAGCCCTGGATTCTGACGTACAGGGGTGCAGATGCGGTGCTCTGGCACTGATCGCATTGCTCTGGCAATGAACCTGTGTTAATGAAGAAATTTGAGAAACAACTTATTACATGTTCCAGTCGCTCTGGGCAGAAGGGATCTAAACCACACTGACCCATGGGTGGAGGCAGAGGAGGGGGCAGCAATTAACAACGAGCCAACACCCCCAAAGGATGGCCCCTCCTTCCCACACTGTGCTTGCTTCATCTGAGCTACAAAGGAAAAGTAGCAGCAATGTTTAGTGGTTTCCTCTTCATTTTTGGAAGTGCAGCACTGCAATTAAATGGAGGAACTCCTGAGGGTAGAGAAGGAGGCTTAGGGTTTTGGCACAGACTGTAATTGCTGAAATTTTACTGCTTTAAAAAAAAATCACCACAACAAACTGAAGCTTCTAATGTTGAACCAATACTTATTCCGACAGACCAGAAGGCAAGAATCTATCTTTTCCTGCTGAAAATCTATAGGAGTCTCCTGTTCTGAAAACCGAAGAAGCCCTCGCAGAGAACGCCACCCAGACTGGTGGCAGAATTGGCAGGGGCTGAGGTTTTATAGGGAACTTAACATATGCTCAAATTGAAATTTATGGGGTGCTTACTTTATGCCAGGCAATGTGCTGGGCGTGAGGGAGACAGAGATGAAAGATTTTCAGGGGAAACAGGCGAGCAGTGAGAATTGAATGCTACATGCACCAGGACAGAGAAGGCTTTGGGGACACAAATGAGGGACATCTGATTGGGACTGAGGATTGGCAGGCTTCCCAAAGGAGGTGCCCCAGGCTCAGTCATAAGACAGAAGGACATCAGACAGAGAGCAGGCGGGAGGCATGGCTGGTCCAGCAGGGTAGAGGGGGCACAGGGGGTCCAGTGCAGGGCTTGTGATTGCCAGAGGTGGGAGAGTTGGGCTTGTGGGCAGTAGTGAGAGGAAGGGAGGCTGAAGCTGAGAGCAGATCTCGGTGGGGCTTACAGGTTGGGCTGACTTCATCATAACAGCTGGGGCGAGGTGGGAGGGGGTCAGGAGATGCTAGAGGCTGTGTTATAGACAAATCTCTCCGATAGGGGTGAGGCTGGAGGCAGGGAGGCCAGGAAGGAGGCTGGAGAAGACTGTTCTAGAAAGATCCAGCTCACTGTAGCATGGAAGTGTACTCATGGGGGCAGGCCTGGGGACAAGCAGGCTAGGGGGGAGGCTTCCACTAGGAAAGATCGCGGGGGCCTGAGCCAGGACCCAGCAGTGAGGGTGGAGAAAAGGGGAGGGATGCGAGGGGGATTGAGGAAGAAGAGATGATAGGGCCTAGTAACTGGATGTAGGGGTGACAGACAAAGAGTTATGACGATGCCTCGGTGTTCCGCTTGGGTGAGTGAATAGACACAATGATGCCACTCCGCATCATGGGGTACCAGGAGAAGGAACAGGTGTGCAATGAGTTTAGGCGTTGGACATCGCGAGCTCTGTTACGACACAGAAATCCCCTTCCTATCTCCTTTCTGGGCCCAAACTCCATGCTTCCTTTCCTCTTGCACTAAAGTATTCCCCTGCCCCACTGTCCAGGGCCACGCTTTCCCAAAAGTGGCTCATATAGACCCATCTCGGGCGCTCTGCCTACGCCACGAGCTTGTCCACCCATCTTTCCAGGGTTTGCCCTCCCTTAGACCACCTCTGCCTCCTTCTTTGGCTCACCTCACATGCAGAGGTGTTCTCTTGGGCTCCTAGAGAGGACCCCAGGGCCTCCCAGGGTCTGAGGACAAGTGGGAGTGAGGAGCTCAGGGAGAAGTGCCTGAGGCGCCGTCTTACAGGATCTCCTTTCCTTCCCGGAGAGCCCGTCAGGCTTTTCCTTCTGGCTAGTCACCTTGCTCCAAAACTGAAACAGAAGGAGCTCAGACGGGAAATCCATCTGGGGAGGCCCTTGACAGGCAGGTGCCACCCGCGCATGGGCTTCTACTAGAGAAGGCGATACTCTGCCCTGTTATCCTGGGGCATCTAGGCGGTTGTCAGCCAGAAGTCTCAAAGTCTTTTGTCTCCTTTCCTTTGTGGAACACGGAATTTTCACTGGTGAGTGTAAGTACCATCAAATCACAAGACGCCATCTACCTGGTCAAAGGAAGATCTGCATTCCTCTTTGGGGGAAAACACCCAGGATGACTCAATTCCGACCCTCACTCTGCAATC